GACGCATTAGAATATTTCACCGCAAGAAACAGGTTAGGCTGCGCTACGAAAACCTTTACTTTCAAATTATATTTACGACAGCTGTTTACAAATTATATCAAACACTGAGCATATTTATAGTCTTTGAGAACTTGTTCTGTTTTCAGATTTAAAGACCTGTTTGATTGGGTTTGTTGCTATTACCCAAGTTTGAATATAAAATGTACTTATACGTATATGTATACCATTATGGTAACTAAATCAAATTCATTTTTTGTGCTGTAGAGAGAGGCTATTCGTTCGAGTTTTGAGCTCGAATTCTATTTATAAAATAATTATGAACTTTATTTATATCTTTTAATGCGTCTTGTCCAAATATATTCAATGGTATACAATATAATGTAGTCCTATAAAAAACGTATGCGCAAAAATATAAGAATAACTTGCTAACCTTCGGCATTTTGCCATGTTCTTTCTCTATAAGTTTACAGCTTGACTGTTTGTTCAATGCCAATACACACTGTGTAATATGTCAGTTTTGTTAATAATGCATGTTAAACATTCGATGAAGAAGGTTGCAGAAGGTAATTTCTAATTGTATGTGTCTAAATTTTAATTTAAAATGTTTCTATTCATTTAAAAAGAAGTTAGAAAAAATAAAGTTTACGTTTAATAACTTTAATTAAATGAAGAACCTTGCAAAATAAAAATGTTATAAATTCGTTAATTTCAAAATTTCAGTTTCAATACGAAAAATGTAGTAATAAATAGGAGAAACCTCAAGACCGTTACACAAAAGAATCAAGAAACACCAATAAACATCTAATTGTGTTGCTTCATGTTCATTTAATTTAAGTCATACATGGTTACCAATCAGGTTCAAATCTGAAGTAGACCAGAGAAACATACACCCAAAATAAATTCACACCAAAATTAATAATTAACATAACCTTTATTAGTTTAAACAATGAGATTAATTCAAAGTACATTAATTGTTGACAATTTGCACCGACGAATTATCAGATTTAATTTTTACATATTGTATTATCCTACTATTGTTACACAATTTATTAACGTACTCTTTTTTAGGTTCATTTAGGTTCTTTTGATAACGATAGCAGAAAATAGCTATCGAAACGTCAGGGCAATTTTTAAAATTAATTTTTTTACTGATTTGAATCTTCTTTTACTGCTTGAGCCCAAGTGTGTCGCAGGAAAACCTCTAGGTGATTTTGATAAATGTGTAATTCGCTCTTTTTGCGAAATAAGTGCACTATTTATCAATTTGTAATTAAAGACGTGAGGAAATTCTGTCTTTTTTAAAGACAAAAATTGTTTGAGGCAAACTACCCAACAAGCATTTTGTAAATTTGTCTAAATTTTCAAATTTGGAAAAAACAGTCCGAAATGTAAATGGTTTGGCCATGATCACACGCAAAGCTTTAACGTGCTATCCTCCAACAATGCAATAAACAATAAAAATGCAATTATTCGGACGGACCCTACCCCCTGAAAATCCCTTGCACGAAACATTCAGCAAAAAAGCTTTAAAAACAATTATTAGTTGTTTATGCATAATTTTCACATATAAGGATGTAAATATTTTTATAATAGTGAAATGAGTTATTCAGCAAAGGGTTCGAATAAATAAAAACAATATGTTTTCATATTTTTATAATAACCATATTATTTTTTTTTAAAACAATGTTAATAGATACAGATGGATACTTATTAAAAACAATTAGAAAATATATAACTGTGTATTATATAATGATAATTATAATCAAAGCCGAAGCAAAAGAGTGAATAAAGTTTATGCATACATACTTATTCAAATCAATTTAAGCTTTAATTCCGGGCAATTTTATTACAAATTTAAATATTCTATTTATTTTTTTGCTTTTTTTTTGTTTTTGAGGTGTACAAATCTTTCTTACATGGCCTCTAAACTATTCCATCTTGTTTTACAATCAATAATAAGATTATATTCTTTCTCATATTTCCGTTTTACGTAATTCTGAAGAATGCTATTTTGGACAGGGGATTTTCTGAAATATTTGCAAATTTTCCTTACTTTACAAATACTATTTTTATAATCATCCAATAATTCAGGAACAGTAAATTTATAATTGTTTATGTCAAGAGAATCTAATTCTTCAAAGTCATTATCAAATTCGTCATTTTCAGAGTCCTGACTTGTAGGATTTGAATCTGTTTCCAATGGACTTTTATTTTTATTATATAATATATCAGTAAATGCTAAGTGTATGGCATGTGAATAACACAGTTGATTAATCGCTGGTTATATGTGGCCAAATTTTTTCATAACAGAAGCACCATCATTTATTGGTGCAACTATATCAGTTGATAAATCAAGATTAAAAGTTTTTAGTTTCTCAGAAACCAGTTTTAACATTGTTTTAGCATCGCAAGTACTTGATATCGGAGCTAATCCTAAATTAAAATCTTTTTCAACTTGATGTACGCTAATATTTAAATATCTTCGATTTCCTTTACCTCCAGTCTATTCATCTATACTTATAAAAAATTGTTGCCTTTCGTTCTGCATACAATTTAATTCATTTATAGTTTCATTTTTTATAGTTTCATAAAAGTTATAAATAAGATTCGTAACTCTAGAATTATTTTGTGGTCAGCAATAATTTCGAAGTTGCAATGACTCTCGTATGAACGAGCTGTTTGTTATCCATGCATCCAATGCAGCAAGCTTTGATACAATTTCTTCTAAACTAGTTCTTTACACAAATTTCACAAAAGTTAAGAATACAGGGCTGTGTACCTGTTTGTGAACTCGTGCCGGCATCAGATGGTTTTTTTCTTCGGTTGTTTTATTGTGCACTGTTTTTAAATGATTATGTAGACTGCTTGTGCTTGATCCTTTGCAAGTAAGCATTTTATTGCAATAAATACAACGGGCTTTTTCTTTTTCTACTTTTTTGAAATAAATCCACACGCCTGACATTTAGGAATACAAAGATATAAAAAATAAAACAAAAAATTGATATTTTTATAATATTAAAATATGTTACCTACTTACATTTTGTATAATATCATCTATATCACATATCGATCAATGGCACTGAACACTGAATTTATAACATTTAGAACTGTACATAAAGAAACCAGGAGACAAACTGATATAAAATCTAAATTAATTCATCCTATAGACAAAACACATCGTTTCTTGAAATCATATCCGACTGAAATGAATCCAAGGACCAAACCGCTTGCAACAGTGTTTTCATCAATCTGGTACATTTGGCTACATTTGTCATTTGCAAATTTTTCTACATGTTATTCATACATTGAAAACCGATATTTTCTACTAAAAACCCGGTTTTCGAGTTTCATAATTTTCTCCAAAAACCCGGTTTTTAAAAACCGACAAACCCTACCACCCACGGTCTCTCTGCCCTTGCATATACAGTGTGGTTCAAAATTGGCGTCATTCCTCTGGGGGCGTTGTGTAGGGATGTTTAGAGAGAACTGCAAAAATAGTGAAAAAAATCATTCTTAATAAAAACTGAAATATTTGCAAAAAACTAGATCAGAAGGATGGTAACCATATTTTTCTAGATGATCGGCCTCATTAACATGGTAAATTCGTCCTATCAAATAAACCATTTTGTTTATATTTAGGAATGTTTTCCGGGCTTTGAAGCCGTGGTCTATAGGAATTTCTTCCTGACGTTTCGTCCACAACTGCGGTGGACATTTTCAAAGGCGATGAGGCAGTGGGCGAAGTGATCTCCCGTGCTTTCTAAATTTATCAACTGTACATAAAGAAACCAGAAGATAAACTGATATAAAAACTAAATGAATTCATCCAATAGAGAAAACACATCGTTTCTTGAAATCATATCGGACTGATATGAATCCAAGAACCAAACCCGCTTGCAACAGTGTTTTTACCAATCTGGTAGATTTGGCTACATTTGTCATTTTTTAATTTTTTTACGTGTTATTCTATATTATTAGTATATTATAGAAAACCGATATTTTCTACTAAAAAACCGGTTTTCGAGTTTCTCCAAAAACCCGTTTTTTAAAACCGGTTTTTAAAAACCGACAAACCCTAACCAGGATCACACGCAACGTTTTAACGTGCTATCCTCCAACAATGCAATAAACAATAAATAGCAATACACCATAAAATTGCAATTATTCGGACGAATCCCAGCCCCTGAAAATCCCTAATATAATACGAATCGTTTAGGCAAAACTAATTCGCTTAACAAACAGATGATTTAATCACCTGTGCAAAATACAAAACTCAACTCAGTTTAAGTTAATGGTTTATAGATAATAGAGAATAATGCTTACCTGCTTTTTGCAAACTTGCGCTCCATTAAACTTCAAAAAACACACGCTTTAGGAACACACAATGAGGATCCACACAAAGTTGAAAATAAATGTGGATTACACTCAGCAATGAACCGGTAAGATGATCAACTGTTCGTGCCTAAATGGCACTAAATTGGTACTTTTATACCGTTGATTAACAAAGAACCGACGACCGACTTAGTCCCTTGCCCATAATAGACTGAATCTTTCAGATAAAACTCATGCGAAATTAAGGTGTTTGTCACATGAAAAAACTGACCGAGCTACAGAACTTAGGTAATGATAGAATCGTTTTGCTCGCTGGCCCTTTGGGTGACTAATAAAATACTCGCTCCCCGATCAATCGTTAGTTCAATTGTCTTGAGACGTGAAAACCTTTTGAGCTTGATCTATTGTAGGAGGCGGCACAGGTTTTAGCAGATCTACCAGAATCAATGTAAACCTTTCGCAAAATATGCCGTGATTTTGAATTTTGATTGAATTTGAAGAACCTTTTTGACTAATTAACTTTTTACGCCCCATGCTTTGATGACTTTAGCTAATTATGGGAATAGATTCTGAGGAAAAACGGCATATATTTAAATATTCTTTATCGATACAAACAATAGTTATTATTCAGTAAAAGTTTTAGGCTCACAATTATGTTTTTGTTTCAGAATGAGGAGACCTCCTGGACTGTGGATTCTTTTATCAGCAGGTAAGTGAATGAAATAGTTCATTAAGCTAATGTTTGTAAATTGACCGCAGAAAATAATCATTAATATTACAAAATTATATGTCTCACAGTATGTCATTTGATTTTTTATTTTAGTATCTCATTTGTTTTCATTTCTTAGTGTAAATAATAATGCAGAATAGAGATTGCGTGCGATGAAAATCAACTGAAGTTTGTGGTTATTCATTTTATTTCATATACGTTTGCAGATGTGAACTCTTCATTTTTGTGAATGAATATAAAACTGCTAAGACCATCAACTGTGCATATAAGAAAGACCGGGAAAACGCGAGTATTATAGGCGCATCATTATCATCATCAGTCTATTCTGCCCACTGCTGAACAAAAACCTCTCTCAAATGTTGCCATTCTTTCCGGTACTGTGCCATCAGCATCCAATATTTCCAGCGAGCCTCCTTAGGTCGTCACTCCATCGGAATGGTGGGCGTCCTCTGTTCCTGTATGCTTCCACTCTTCGTCGGAATATATATAGGTTGAACTGCAACTGCATAAAATCCAGTAGACCCCAAATGCTGCTAGAAGATCTATTTTGCCCGTGATGAGATAACGAGATGAGTTTGACGAGACCTATAGTGATCCACAGTAAGGTGCCAAGCCTGAATAAACCAATTAACCTCTACATTGTCTGCCATTTTCAAATAATTGTTCACAACTGTTATCGAGTATGAAAAAGTTATAGACGCTACTTTTTAATTTATAATTATTATCATTATTCGAAGATCTTCCGACGTTCATTATTCCCTAAAGAATTAACATTCACTCTCCCTAGAGTAGAAGAACTAAGTGATATACTGAACGTCATCAACGACTATTTCCATATTAGTTCAAAAGCGCTACACGTGAAATTAGGTCTTGCATATTTGATTTTGATTTGCACACTAGGCTCTTTGAAGAAGAAGAAGGCCCTTATTTTTTTCTTCTTCGGGTACTTTGTCCTCGGGTGAAAACCGGCTCTACAGACTTTAGAAACTCTGCGCAAAAAGAAGTTGGACTTTTAAAATCGATTTATCACGTGCCTCAAAACACCTCCAGTTTGCTATTGACTTTATATGAAAAAAGACGTATTAATTCCTTTGTTCTTCTAGAAACCGATCTAAAAACAGAAGCTAATTTTTCTTACGTATTTTGAGCTGCTGAATCGAATGTAAAATGTTTAGTCAAAAATAGTTATAATCAAAAATCCTAGGAAAACTCGAACTTATTACAAACAATTTGAACGTCTTTTCATAATCAACTGTATTTTCCCTTTTTAGACAAAAATCTTGTTACGTCCAGGACGTTTCCAAAATCACAACCGATTTGCAACAACTTGAAAGTTTTTTTTTTCATTGGTGTGTTCCTCACTTAATTTTCCATTTTGTTGATCTCTTCTTTCACTGGGTACTTTCGTTATTTTCTACATCTCAAAAGTTCAATGTCTTCTTTTTTTTCAGATTTTTTTAAGGGTAATTAATTGTTAAGCACAAACTTCGTGTCGTTCGATTTTCGTTAATCTTCTTCGATTTCATCTTGGAAATGTAGTTTTTGTTGCAGTTTTTGGTAATATTTCTTCTCGTAAACGTGTGTTAGGTACGTTGCTAGTGATTGTTTATACGGGTTTTACGAACGATTTGATTATTTTTGGATCATAATGGACTGAACTAATTGCCGTTTCTTTAATTTGAAGAAAAGGCTTCATCATTATCAAGGCGTTGCCTCTTTCATATTCAACTGTATTTTTTCCCACATTTTTTGCTCAAAATCACTACAGATTTGCATTAAACGCAATGCGTTTTTTCTACATTATACTTAGAATTGAAAATTTTGAAATGATCAATAGGTGAATATCAATCAAATCGATTTTTTCTGGTATCTCAAGAGTTCATTAACTTGCTGTCTTATTTCTTTTCAAAGTTATTCTGCTTTCTTCTTGTTCTTTGTTGGCAATTTTTCAATTATTTCAAGCAGATTTTTTTGTCCCAAACCGAGTGGCTTTTTCAGTTTCTTTAACCTCTTGGGTTTGTAGATAAAATTTAAACACTTGGAGTATAGTTTGACATAAAAGCCCATACTTTCCAGCTGCTTGTTGTGGCTTAGATATAGTGCTGGTTATTTCATGTTCCAGAGACAGGGCTATTTCTTCGATTGCCCATACCTATACAAAAACTGTTGGCAGCAGTCGATTCAGGAGCTCAAAATACATAAAAGCATAAGTAAATGAGAAAATTTTACTCATTTTATTATTCTTTCAACGATACAATACAATGATCTATTTTAATTATTTTCACCCAGTTTTCAAGTTTTTTGACGGGTTTTGATTATAAAATTTTTTTGCTACGTAGACGAAAAATAAACACACACACACTCGATTCAGCGGCTCAAAACATATGCATAAATATATAATTTAAAGCTAAATTGAACGATTATAGACGTTACACTCACTCGTTTTTCGAGGTTTCCGACGATTTTTGCTTGCAACGATTTTTAAACGATACATAGAGACAAACTCATAATGGTAATAAAAAATAACTTAAATAACAAATATCCCAAATTTTGGTCGGTTTTTAGCAGGATAAACATATTAACACTTTTTTTCCATAAAAAAATCAATGGGAAACTTGAGGTGCTTGTGAGACACTTGCTAAATAGATGTTTAAGAGAGAGAGTCCAATTTTCTTGCGCACACCCTATAGACCCTATAGAAGAGATTTTCACTGCGGGAGGAAGTCCCCGAAGTAAAAAAATTAGATCCGGCCTATTGCACACACGTTAATATTTAAAATAGTTTTGTCGTTGTTGTAAGCACGTCAGATCAACTCACTCTGGAAAGGCACTATGGCAATATAAAAATATATTTTCTAAAATATGAATATATATACCTATAATTTGTTTAACATAGTAAATATCATCGCTATTTAAAGTAAAACAGTGCTTACTAGAAAAGAGGCGGAATTCCGGATCATTATTCCCTTGGGATCAATGAATAAATATCGTATAATAAGACCTTGTATTATGTGATAGTTATTTTAAATTGTGACTTTCTGCAAGAAAGCGTAATTCCCATTGTTCAGATAGTTTAACCGATTTTAAGTAAAACGTAAAATGTATACAATTTTGATGGAATTGTTTCAGGAGTACTATGGCTAAGTCTGCAAGACGTATATGGGATTCGAGCGACGGCACTGATATTTGGTAAATCATCCACCTCTACCACAACAGAAGCTGTGACCACCGCTTCCACCGAAGAAACTATCAAATCAGAGGTTCGTCTCATTTGCATTCAATAAAGCTCTGAAACATCCTGCATATGCATCTATAAACTATTAAACGTGTATGTTAATGCATAAGACTTAGCGAGAATTGCAGGTCATTGTTTGTTTCATTGAACAATAATTTCTCAGAATTATCTTTAAATATAAACATAAATATTTTAACAATGTTGTATGGCTGACTGACCAAAGTAGATGTGGGGATTGATTTTTTCGTGTGAGTGAAAGTACAAAATTTCTAACTATTTTCAGCTGTTAAATTTCAGGCTATAAGCCTCATTTCATCCATTATGAGCAATGTTTCCTAATACATGTTAATCAAAACACAGAGGCTGATGAATTTTACATCCAATATTTTAATACAATAAGAAATATTCATTGGAGACAGGGATTAATTCATCATTTTTCTACTTGTTGCTTACTTTTTAGCTTCTGCAGCAAATTTAACAATGTTAAACGAAATTTAGTACAGTACTTGTATTGTCCTTAAATAATAACAGTGAAATGCTAGCAAGCAATAAGTAAGAGAAATTAATAAGCAGAGAACTTTTCCTTTGTGTCTGTAATTTTCAATTTCAGAGCCTAACTGGAACTGCAGATACATGAGAGCCATGTTCTATCAACAGGCATTTCGAAAAATTTTGATACTAAATATTTACCTATAATGCAACTCGAACCAAGTAGGCATGCGGACGAACACAATAATTCACAAAGTTACGATACGAAGGAACTTCGAATTTTCATTTAAAACATATTTTATTTAGACTAGACATGTCAAGGATGAATAGAAAATCTTTAAAAAAAATAATATGAATATACTTCATAAACCATATTCAAATAATAAAACATTATGTTAAGTTAATGAGGGATTTTATTTTTTTTATTGCTTGGTAAAATTCGCATTTTCCAAAGTTGAGCTACTAATAAACTGCAATTCTGGACATCTTTAGCACAAGGCTCAGTGATTAGGTGCTCCCAATTTCTCTTGAATTTGAGATTTTGTTCAATTTCTAGAAATGTTTCATCTTTGTGGCAGCAGTAAAAGAGAGTGGAAACGAGCAAGCTGTGCCTAAGCGCTTATAATACGCAAAAATCACCTTACAATAGATTGCAAATGTTGGCTGTTAGTAATGGCAAAATCTCCAATCAATTTGTGAATGTTTGATTTTTCAAAATTGTTCTAGTTTAAGTTACTAAACTAAACTAAAGCACATAGAAAACTGCAATTTCTTGCATTTATAACAAAAGCCTCAGCTATCAAGTATTCGAACTCAATTTATTTAGAGCTCCGGTCAGTTTTCGAAAATATTTCTATTTTCTGAGTTTTCCTTCTCCAGTCGTCTAAAACACCCATCATCTAAAAATTCCCACTTTCCAAAACTGAGTCAGTTTTCAACTGAAATTTTCGATATTTTTAGCTGAAACCTTATTTATTAGACGTTTAGAATTAGACGTTAGAATTTTACAAATTCAATTGATTTGAAGCTTCTGTTCAGTTTCAAGAACATTTTAATTTGTCTGCGCGCTAGGAAAGCGACTGAAACATGGATCCTTGTGTCTAAACCCAGATAACCCATAATGCTACATGGACTACAATTTTGGATATGCATCGAAAGGGTCTTTGTAATCAAATTCAACAAATTCTCAGCGGATTTGGTTAATCGCTTAATTTTCGGAATTTTTTTTTACTCCCAACAGAAAAGAATCCCAACTATTGCACTTGCCTGTACAAAAATTGGAAACTGCCAAACTGAAACAGATATATAGAACAATTCAGTTTATTATATTTGTGGCCGAAGCCTTAGTTATTAGACGTTTAAACTTTGAATTGTTTTGGATCTTCCGTTTCAGTTTCTGGAAATGTTTTCATTTTCCAGGAGGCACAAATGTATCTCCAAAAAAACCGCGTTTAAAAATTCGCAGCTCCCAAAATTGACCAATAAAAAAACTGAATTTTTGAACGTCTAGCCGAATCCTTACTGAGTAGACGGTAAAAATGTCAGACGATTTGGAGCATACACTATCTAGAAACTAAAAAAAAAATTGTCTACTAGAAAAATGAATGAAACGTGCATCCATTGAAAAATGCCAAACTGTAACAGATAGAAAACTTGAACTTTGAAAATTTGTAGACGAAATATTATTAAGTAGAAGTGCGCAAATTAGAATTGTGAAACGTAGTGTTTTTGGATTTTTTTAAATTTTCTGTGCTGGAAATGTTTTCATTTTCCAGGAGGCACAAATGTATCTCCAAAAAAACCGCGTTTAAAAATTCGCAGCTCCCAAAATTGACCAATAAAAAAACTGAATTTTTGAACGTCTTTAGCCAAATCCTTAGTGAGTAGACGGTAAAAATTTCAAGCGATTTGGAGCATACACTATCTAGAAATAAAAAGAAAATTGTTTACTAGAAAATTGAATGAAACGTGCACCCATTGAAAACTGCCAAACTGTAACAGATAGAAAACTTAAACTTTAAAAATTTCTAGGCGAAATATTATTAAGTAGAAGTGCGCAAATTAAAATTGTGAAACGTAGTGTTTTTGGATTTTTTAAAATTTTCTGTGCGGATCAAAACTGGCTTAAAAGTGTGCATTGTGCCTAAAAGTCGATAGCTTCCAAACTTGAACCTTCAGAGGACTGCAGTTTCGAGCATAAATATGGGAAGCGTAAGCGAGAATACTTTAAAACATTCAATAGATTTGGAAGTTTGATCAATTTTTGGAAGATTTTTAAAATTTCCCTTATTCTAAAATAAACTTCAACCTCTGAACTTCTATGTAAAACAAATGGGAACCACCAAACTGTGGCGGATTAAAGCGTGGAATTTTGAACATCTGTAGTAAAATCTTGAAGTAGAAAGCTTAAAAAAGCGAAACGGATTTAGGGCGCTCACTAATTTTCAAAAGAATAGTTTCTCTGTAAAAGACAAAAGTGGTTCAAATGTAAATGTACCTACTTGTGTCTAAGAGTGCAGATTCTTCAAAGTTGCGCCTTTTGAATGCTGCCGTTTTGAGCATGTACGATTTATAGATTTATTTTTAGTTTATTAGGAAAGGTAAAAACGTGTAATTGATTTTAGCTAGTCATTTGCTTGGAAATCATGTTCTTTTCAAGCACGCTTAAAGATCTAATGTATTCACGCAATGTTTCAAATTCACAAAGCGAATATGGAGCACTTTTGAGAGTAATTTGTTCAACCCTCCGCTATACCTAAAATTTTTTGTCTTCGTTTGTCGGTCTATTTCCGTACATCCTGCTTAATAGTTGAAATTAGTTAATGTTTATATCATTTCTATCGTTTATGGAAAAATCTCGTTTTCATTGTATATTGTATATACAACATTTCAAGGAGTTTGTCTCTCTCTGTTTTTCTAGTTATATGTTCAGATTTTAACAATTTTGTGTCTCGGAAACAAAGGAATACATTTTAGTCTTACTATCCGTATAATCATGGGAATTTAAAAATGATTTGAAATTAGGAAAGTGTGTGCTATTAAAAGCATTGAAAGATATGTGTGCAGACTTGGTATGTCATTAAGGACTATTGGAGAAACATTATTTAATGCGTAAAATAATACTACTCGTACGTGTCTCAATTTTAAATAAAAGCCAAAGAGTTAAAAGATTTAAAGCCTTGTTACCGGAGGAATTCCGTCTCGGTCTGAATAAATTGCAGTACAGCGGCAGTTTACTTTCTATTATTTTTTTCGCTGAACTGATTGCGGCTACTTAATATTTTAAACGCATGTATGATCAAAGTCTAGGATTTTGTCACTTTTGCTGTTTAGTAAAAGTAGGAAGATTTCATCAGGTATTGATGAAACCTGCCACCTTGTCGCCATGTGGTTGAAAAACCATTGTCTTCATGCGGTTCAAATAGGTATATCTGGATTAAATCACAATTAAAACCTCAAACATGGTAATATTGCATGTTTCCAATTGGAATATGCTGTGATCAGTTGGTGTTTGTCAGTAAATACGTAAATTGTTTTTCTTTAATTTACACCATTGCATTGTTATCTAATCGAGAAATCAATCAATTTTCAACAATAAGTATATTGCATGATTATGTCTGCTACAAACGAGTGCTAAAAGCATAAGTAAAGCAATCACGTATGTCATAGTTTCACCGCATTTCGCAAAATAAATAACATGCAATACCAGTGGCGCAACCTAAAGATATTCAAGGTGTTTTAACCGATACGAGTGATATTTTGTAGAAGAAGTTTGTCCAGAAGCACAAAAGTGTAAAATGTGTCTTAGGCAGTAAGATTAACCTATGTGGGACATTTGAGGAAATCATTGTATTTAAATGGTTTTATATAAACAGCACGTATGATAAAGAGCACGTACGAAAATAATCGATTTTTAATATTTCAGGCTAAAATCCAGAATACAGGATAATTAACTTTGCACCAGTTCTCGACCCCCTGTTCTTGGGCACCGTATAATAGGAAAGAAAGTTTTAAAATTTAATTGCCTCTAAATAATATTAACTCTTAAAGATTGAATTTTTTTCTTTATTATTTACCTTTGGCCAGGATGCCACCAAGAGTCATCCCCAAATGGGTCAACTGCACCAAAAGTTTCAACCAGATTAAATTTTTATTTAATCATTTTACCTAATTGAATTCAATATGAATTAATAAACTTTATTCGATTTGTATCTTTCTGTTTTTAACATTTAATTAATCTTACTTAATGAAAGGGACTGATTTTACAAGAATGAAAATGTTTTAGTGTGTTAAGAAACAACAAATTTATTTGTTTTTCAACCAAAACATTTTTTTCTGTCACATTTTGCCTATTTTTTGTATCTTGCCTGAAGTTTAGAAATACAAAAGAATATTTTGAAGAACTCCTTACAGATTTTAATATTTTTCAAATATTTTGCAGCATTTCAGTACGAAAAGTCCCAAAAAATACATTCAACGGTAAACCACCCGGTACATTTGCTTCATAATCAAACAACATACTTCATAATCCTAAGA